GTAAACTCAAAAAATAGACGTATCATGGATTATGCTGTTACTGATTTTCACCAGTTGCATTTCAGGTGTAACACTCCAAGATCACATTTGCATATAAACATATATTTCAATATATCAAGAAATACCACTTTACACATTTGATCCCAAAAGTATACAGAAGCTACATTACAAAGTAGCTACCAAATTTTTCCACAATATCCCCATACAAAACTTGTATACAATAACAAGTATTCAATTACAAAAGATAGCATGTTATCCCAACATCCCATCCAAGAATATAACTCTTCACAATTTCCTTTTCCCCTTATCATCTGGCTGTGTCCGACCTGTAATGCACATTTTCGAAATACCAAAATGAGGGTTAGACCTTGAGGTCTACTGAGAAGTCCCTTTGTTTGCTATTTCAGGGTGAATAATCACCAAAAACACATTTATAAACTTATATTTGTATTAATAATAATTTAACAAAACAAACCCCTTTTGTCATATCAAAATGATGAGACATTATTCAATTATCGCATCAAATAGCCAAACAAACTCATTTATCACATTATGATAAATATATCACATCATATATGTAAATACATAATTTCCTCGCATCACATGGGTGAGACAATCCCATCTCCTCACATCACATTGGTGCGAGGTCCCCATCTCATCACATCACATGGTGCGATAAACCAACTTGTCGCATCACAAGGATGCGATAAGTTCACTCCTCGCATCACAATGATGCGATAAACACACTTCACCGCATCACAAGGATGCGATAAGCTCAAGTCATCGCATCACACAAATGCGACAACTTCAGGTCATCGCATCTCAAGGGTGCGACAAACAAATAAAACTTTGATCAAAACCCAGATTTTACATTATGTTGATTATGTCACTCTTATCCTGGCATACACCTCTCTTTGATATGTTACCCTTATAACCAAAATACATTTCTCTTTGATATGTCACTCTTATTCTATTCACATGATATAATCATATCAAAATACCAATTCATGCTATTCATATCATCCAAAAACAATTTTATATCATCCCTACCTAAAGAACCATACGGTTCAAATTTCAACACCAAATAAGATGAAAGTTATAAATCAACTCACCTTATAATCACACTGAAAAGAAGATATGAAGATGAACATCAACAATTTTCCAAGTAGTAATCACAAAATAAATTCTACAAGTTTCCTTCTTTAGTTCTGTTTGTTTTGCACAAAAGAACACACACAGAAAAGTTTTTTTACTTCTTTTTCTCGGCTCCAAAAACCACCTAAACCGAAAACCTCATTTATTTTTTTTCTTAATTCACATCCCAATGAGATAAAGTAATTATCTCATAATATGATTATAAAAATCATGAGGCGGTGGAATTTAAAAACAATTTATGTACATATACACATTTAACTCCTCAACTTACCATCATCAATTAAAAATAACCCCGAACTTTATAACCGATAAACCCAGTTATCACATAAGGGATTCTTATACCACAAGAATTAAGGACCAATCTAGTAACCGTTTATTTGTACGATATGCACAAGTTAGATGGTATTAGATGAAAGACATATTTGGAACAATTGTTTTTATTTTTGGAAGATAATCAATAATAATATTTAAATGATTTTTTATTTTTGAAAGATAGTCATAGTTTATTTTTTGAAACTAATCAATAATAATATTTAAATAATTTTTGTTTAAAGGTAGAATCAAAAAGTTCATAGGTGAAAATAAAAAGTGAAACAACGATTTTTGTTTAAAGTTCATAGGTGAAACCAAATAATCAAAGTTTATAGGTCAAACCAGAAGGTGAAACAATGATTTTTGTTTAAAGTTCATAAATGAAACCAAATAATCAAAATTCAAGGTGAAACCAAGAACTGAAATAATTGTTTTTATTCAAAGTTCATAAGTGAAACCAGATAATTAAAGTTTATAGGTGAAACCAGAAAATGAAAAAATTAATTGTTATTTAAAGTTCATAGGTAAAACAAAAAAACAAAACAATAATTTTTATTTAAAGTTCATAGGTGAAACCAGAAAGTAAATGAGGTAATTAAGGAAATTCAAATAGTTCATAGATGAAATCAAAAATTTCAAAGGTAAAACAATTAAGTGAATGAGATTATTAATGAATGAAATATTTAAATAATGTAATAATTAATTGAATAAAATATTTAAGAAATGTGGTATCAATAATAAAAAAGATGAAAATGTCTCGGTTAACAAAATTTGTACTATTTATTTGGTTAACAAAAGAAGGGGATCTCTCTCTCTCTCTCTCTTTCTCTCTCTCTCTCTCTCTCTCTATATATATATATATATATATAGACACACACACATATATCTTGAAATTTGAAGTACATCGAGTAGATATCAAACAATTATCGAATACATCGAGTTAGTACAAATATAGGTTTTTTTTTAGAAATTTAAAATACATTAAGTGTTGGATTTTGTATGTCAATGACACTAAACTTGATGATACATCTAATGATACATGATCCCAAAGGGTCACACACATACACACAACTTAATCTCAATCGTACGATCGAATGTGATTCGATTATTTTCAATCCAAACGATTGTCATGCAAATAATTATTTAATCGAAATAATAATTTCTGATAATAATAAAATATATATTATATATTTTTACTAATGTTTAAGTCTAAAATGTATTTCATACATATTATTATTTTCGTTGTTTTAAATGTACACTTAATTTGTTATGTGTGACATTAATTATATAAATTTTATATTTTGATATAAAATTCATATGAAATAACTAATAACTAATTAATAATGCTATGGTTGGTTTTAGGTTGTTTATTAGTTGATTTATAAGGGTATTTGTTGCTTCCAAGTACTTTACAAAAAACTTTTAAAATATTAAACAAAAAAGAACAAGATATGAAATGTAAGAAGTATGTTGGGAGACATGGGCCCCACTCTTTCTTCTTTTCTTTCTTTCTTCCTTTTGAATCTATCATATATACGTATGTGTGGTGGTTCAATAAAAAAAAAGTAATACATATTCTCATATTATCCTAACTCTTTCTAAATTTTCTCTCTAAAATTCAAAGTGTTAGAGACTTTTGAGAAAGAGTTCTTGAGAGAAAAAGTGAGGAGATACATACTTGGTTTTTATTTCTAAGGTAGAGATAAAACACACTAGTTTGGATTGCAAGGAACTAACATTCAAAAGGGAGGTTGCTTGGTGTGGATCAACTTTGGAGGAAGATCCTTTTTCCTTCTCTATCCGACATCAACGTTCAAGCTTCAAAGGTTATAGTTCTAAAACTCACTATGGTTGTGTTTTTCGTTTTGTTGGGAGTTTTTGTGAAAATCGTTGTAGGTTTATTTTATGCTTCATTTGCTATCTTTGATGATATTGTTTTAAAGTTTCCTACAAATCCCTTCATTAAGCTACCATCGCATTGTTATCGAACGCAATAAACTTGTACAAATCCATGAAAAAAATATGAAAGAATGAAAACTCATATGCACATATGAATATTATACATGGTAATCTTTGTGATTTAATTGCGAGGAGATGAAGTAGACCAATCAATTTGTATATTCAACTCCACCCTATAACCGCACTCGGATTTTCCTAACTCCCCCTTCAAATAGGAAAAATAGTGGAGTTGTGTAGCCCTACTTCAAATAAGAGAAGGAGTGGAGTTGTGTAGCCCTTCTTCAAATAAGAAAAGAAGCGCAGTTGTGTAGTTTATAAGATTGCAGACAACAGGACAAAAAAAAACACAGTTACATTATCTTTACTGAAGGCCTCCTAATCTTATATGGACATATGAGCTGCAGACATTGTGTTTCCTCAAAGAGGAGTTGCTACTCCCTACAACCCAATGTTTGCATAAAATGAATGATTAGTGCTTATGTTTTTCCTATTAACCTGAAGATCCAACCCGCTATGCGAGCCGACTAATCCCAGGGTGACCATCTGCTTTGCAGATAGCCCTGAGTCACCGCATTTGAACCTCCGTAGCCACAAAGAAATTTTATTTCTCCTTGGATTTGAACCTGAGACCTCCTGGTACTTTTGACCTTTGGAGCCAAGCTCAAACCAATCAGGCACCACCCTTGTGGTTGATTAGTGCTTATGTTGTGCATTAGATGAATGAAGAAGTAAGATAATATACAATTTCTCTCACACACATATCTTTTCTTAAGAATGTTGCATCGAATAAGTTAACATGTTTTCGTTATAACTGGTTGAACATATTTTTTACAGGGAGGAAAAAGTTGATGTCTTTAATGTCAGTATCATGATAAGTATGTTTAATGGGGAAAATGCCTGTACAACCATCATTGAGAACTTAATTGATACGATAAAGACCATCTACTAGGAAGATATAAAGGTTAACAATGCTTAATGTGTTGTGGCTTAAAAGAAAATGCACTGGGAAGAGGAAACATCGTAGAGATGTTATTTACTGCATGAGTTATCAATACAGTGTCATAAAAGAAACGTAAAAAGATCAATATAAGCCATCAAGAAATTATCAAGAAATTGTAAAGATGAGAAACCGTAGACGTGAAAGTATGTGTGGGCCCTGTTAACCACACTTTTTATATACCATTCAGGTATTTTGGGAAGAATACGAAATTTTAGTACATTTTTTTTAAAGGATTATAACATAGAGCATATTTTGGTTATTTATAGCAATAATAAGCATAGAAACCCAAATTTCCATAATGAAAGATGTATGTATGTATGTATGTATGTATGTATGTATGTATGTATGTATGTATGTATGTATGTATGTATGTATGTATGTATGTATGTATGTATGNATGTATGTATGTATGTATGTATGTATGTATGTATGTATGTATGTATGTATGTATGTATGTATGTATGTATGTATGTATGTATGTATGTATGTATGTATATATATATATATATGTATGTATGTATGGGTGTGATGGATACATGATGATTTAGCCCTTTGAGAAAAATATAAGAATGTATGGTTCAAGTGTCTAATTTGTAACTCATCTCCCCCCTCTCCACCTTCTTCTACCTTCTCCTCCTTCTCGCCTCCATATATGGTTGCATCTCCATCGGTTTCTCTTGCAATACAATGAGGTTTTGATTTCAATTTCATATGTCGCAATCCAACACTACTACCTCCAACAACAACCGCAAGCGCTCATCTGCCACTTGTACATCTCCACCACCATCCACGACCACAACCGGCGGCGGAGGAGCTCACTTTTCGGGGATGAAGAAGGCCAAGTCACAGGCCGTCTCTTGCTCATTGGACAACAAAAACGGCTTCCAACATCACCAATTTGATAACAATTCCTCTGTCGACCCTTCATCCATGATCGAAGATCCCACTGAAAACGATGCTGGACGCGCCTCCTCTGCTGGTGGATTTACCGCCAATTTGTCCCGTAAAAAAGCAACACCGCCTCAACCTGCTAAGAAGCTCGTAATCAAGCTACTTAAAGGTCATCGATTTTATCTCTTACCTAACTCCCTCCCAGACTTCGATTTCTGATATTTATTCGAAATTTCTATGTCTAATTTATAGGGAATCTTCAATTTGTTTCATATTTCGTGTTTTTGTCCACTCTGAGATATGGGGTTTTGGATATATGGATTGATTTATGTATTGCCTATCACATACTATTTGGGTTTAAGCTGAAATTGAGTTACTAATTGTAGGAGTTCTTCAATTTGTAGGTTTCAATTCCTTATCATTTCCAGAATATTTCCGTTGTCTAAATTAGGTTTTAAGATGCTGCTTTGTATCTATGTCACCGACATCATCTTAATATAATCAAAATTTCCTCCCTTCTAAGTTATGCTCCTAGGGTATTACAATTACACCTTGCATTGTGAACAGAAAGAGATACTAAAGGCACTAAAAAATGGTACATGAACAATACCCAACATCAGAATGTCTATGGGGAAAATCTTATCTTGTAGATGAAAAGGTTCAGGATAAAGTGATCTATTTTGCACTCTTGAAGTTACTGCCTAAAACCCTAAAATGGTGTTAACTATTATACGCAAGATGTAGGAGCTTTTTTCATTGAAAGCATATGTAATTTACTTGAGTGTTTTGTTTGATTAAAGGTTGGTACTTGGGAAACTAAGAGAACATGACACTAAACAAAATGTTAAGTTCTGGAAGTAATATTCATTAATTACCTTTTAAAATGCACCTATGTATCTCTATTTATCTATTTCTTATGATTGTGTATTGTTGTTCTGATTCGTGGAGGGCAAGACATTTCAAAGTTTCACAAATCTTTTCTTCACAATGATCTTCCTAATATGTTTCTCGCACTTTCTTTTCAAAGATGAACTTTCACTATTTATACCTGTGAATTTTTGATTTTACACAGCTCAAGGGCATGGAACACAACTCCTTACTTTCTTTATTTGTTTGTCTGTTAGCAGAACCTACCAATTTCATTCCAAGAATGCCATGGTGTCCTGTGTCCCTAATATAATGAACATGTGAAAATAAATCTCTCTTCGGAGATGGCTGCTTTAGGAAACAAATAAATCCTCCATTTCTCTATAAAGTCTCACCTGTGCTTTTTCGGATTTGGTGGTAGGGCCATAAATTTACCTTTGATGATAGACTTGGAAAGAAAGCATCATCCCTGTTTCATCATGCTAGAGGTGGAATGTATTTGTTTATGGCCTTCCTGGTGATCATTGAAGTGTCTCCAGTGATAATGGAGTATGAATCTGTGATAAACCAAAGTAAGAAAACATCAGGGATGGTCCTTGGTCGAGGGGTTGAATTGTACTTTCGAATGCTATAGTGGACCCAACAACTTCCATGTTATTTCACTACTCCCGAAAAGTCCAAAATGAAAAAAGAACCTTTGTTGTGGATTGTTCTTCAACCTACAACTCCTTTGTAGATGTGATCTATAACATGGTTAGATTGATTATTGGAATCAATAGGATGAGGATTTACAACATTCTAGAAACTTTGTGAACAAGATGTTGCTCGTTTGGCATATCAAACAAACTACAGTAATGTTCTGTCATCAAATTAATTTTCTACCCTACATACTAAGAGACCACCTAACCCCTTACGATTTATGCATATCTTTTTGCTTCCTAACAACAATACTTAAAACAATGGTGTGTAGAAATTTTGGGATAGCTTGAAAATATGATATGATCAAAGAATGAAATTTGGGTGTAGAATTAAACCCTACAATTTCAGTTTGGAAGAGAGAAATATCTGGAAAGTAAAAAAAATCAATTTATGTTATACAAATTGCTATGTGGGTTAAGTATCTCATGATGAATATAAAAATGAGTCAATGGGTAAAGTTCTGTGGGCTTCAAAATATATCCGAGGTGTACTTGAATTTACTTTGTAATTTATTAATGTCACCCATCTGATCCGAGATTTGTTTTTCTCAATTATATGTGCGTACATCGCATAGTTAAATATTTTTTTTCTTAAGATAAAGCTGACTTCGATACTATGGACATTAGGCAAATAACTATAGATGCTTGTTTTTTTAATCCATGTGTCTTGTCTCCCCACCATCAAATGAAAAAATTCGGTAATGTAAGTTTGGTTGGGGAAAAACATGGCACCTCTCACATTACCCATGAAAGGGCTCCCTATATATTTTTACACAACAAATTTCCAGAAAGTGTTAAACAGATAGGAGCTATGCGGTGGTGTGACCTGCCAATTCTTAACCACCTAAGCTAGCATCAAGCATTTATTTTAATACATAGAATATAATTACTCTTAGATTACGTTGACATGTGAGAGTTATAATTTCGATGTAAGATGATTTTGATACAATTACTTTTCTCTCGGATTAGGGCAATAATTGCAAAGTCACCCAATTTGCATTTAGATTATAACTTTGTCCATTGTTTTAAATTTGCCTGAAAGTGACTTACAAAAGGGATATTTTGAAATAGGCAAAATTGATATTCTTTTAGTAGTAATATTTTGAAGCAGCATAATTTGTTATCCAATTAATCAGGTAAATCTGTTAATCACCGTCTAGCCTGGCTAATCCCACTTAATTTAGCGATTAGTTGCTCATTGAAGCTGTGGGGGGTGGGGGTGGGTGCTTAACGCCTAGGCTGCCGACTAGAAGCTAGTTGGTGGGGACTTATAATACATTGTAATATATGGGTCCAAGTCCAAAGCCAAATCAATAAAGGCAACAATTTTCTTTTGTACTGATACATTATATAATTGAAAATCATAAGGGAGCTATTGCAGTATATGTAAATTAAACACACACTTAAAATTTAAGCCTTGTCCTTTCTTTTACTTTGGCTTAGTGCGCCATGCCACTGTCACTGTCACCATCCCTTGCCTCTCTGCTGTCTCCATCTCTTAGCCTTGCATCCTTTCAGTACTTACATGCGTAGGACTTAAGTTTTACTCTAAATTTTTAGCCTTAATGTTTAAAATTTTAATTTATGAATTTCGTGTTTACGTTCTTTTAAGATAAGATCAAAATGCCTGCCTCACATCCCCCCACAGCTACAGCTATGCCTTGCTGCAACCTTGAAGAAACTGCTTGTCTGAGGCATCCAATACGGGGATTCAGCAAGGGTAGAAGCACCCTCTTTTAGTTGAGGTAGTCTTGGTGGAAAACCAAGATGACTGTAGCATTTAGCAGTTGAGATACAGCTTTCTATGTTCATAGTGTAATATGTAGACTATTTAATGAGCATGGTTATATTTCTGAGGATACATTTGTCTGATTGTCTCAATGCATTTAGTTGTAGCCAAACTCCTATTATGATGTGTGATAATCTCTCATTCTTATGCTACTTCCTCTCCATAAGCATTCGCTATAGATATGATCAGTGCTTGATTAACATGTTTTATCTCGTTGTTTCGACCATTTAAGCTGAGCATGATGCTGAAACAAATTTCTAATGTTTTTTTTTTCATGTGACTACTTAAATTGTTTATGGTATATGACACATTGTTAAAAATGTTCCTTTGTCTTCCTTGTATTTTCTCTTAAAGCCAAGCCGACCTTGCCGACAAACTTTGAGGAGAATACATGGGCCATCTTGAAGTCAGCGATTAGCGCTATATTCTTGAAGCAGCCAGATCCTTGTGATTTAGAGAAGCTTTATCAAGTGAGTCATGCTACATGATTTTTTAGTACTATGAAGTATCCATTTGCCATCCATTGACTAAACTCTGCTTGTTAATAGGCCGTCAATGATCTTTGCCTCCACAAGATGGGGGGAAGTCTTTACCAACGGATTGAGAGGGAGTGTGAAGCTCACATATCTGCTGCTTTACAATCATTAGTTGGCCAAAGTGAAGATCTTGTGGTTTTCTTATCGCTTGTGCAGAAAACCTGGCAAGATTTTTGTGACCAAATGTTGATGATCCGTGGTATAGCATTGTATCTTGACCGTACATATGTGAAACAAACTCCAACTGTGCGATCGTTATGGGACATGGGTCTTCAACTTTTCCGGAAGCATTTATCACTAGCTTCAGAAGTTGAGCACAAAACCGTATTCGGCCTTCTGAAAATGATAGAGAGTGAGAGGTAAACTACCAGATCTTTTGACTGAATATCCTTACTTGTGGAGTACTAAATAACTGCATAATTATAAAATTTAACATGATAAGAGATACATAGTAAATTGTGCCTTTAGGATCTTGTTGCAAATGCTGTTACACCTTTGCATTATTTTATGGCATTAAGAATCTGAGAGGCATCCTGACACTTCTGTTCTTGCGTGACTTATTGTTGGTCATCCAAGTTGATGAGGTCATATATATGTTTATGGGGTTTGACATGCTAAACACAACTTCAGCTTGCCGAAGCTAATGGTAGTTCATAACATACATGGTAGTCAATGCAAGTGTAATCTGAAAACAACAGTTTTGGGCGCTGCTGGTCATAAGCTGCAACTCTCTGTGGGTACCATGTTATTACTCATTAGTTGAGTGTTTTTTGCAGTTCTGTCTGCCACACCACATATGAGCAGGGTTTTTAAGGAAGTGTCCAAGCCTGATATAGGATTAACATTGATTGATTGGTTAAGGGATTTGCCTTTAAAGTTAGGCAATCTCATATGTGTAGGTAATTATCAATGATCCAATATCTTGAGGAATAAGGCTTGTACTATGTGCACTTCGTCCCTAAAGTCCAGTTTGCATCATAATGCTGTTTGTTATTCATCTTTACCCTTTATTGCCTTCTCATGTCACCTGCCTCATTGTTGGTCACACATCACCCTTGGGAGACAAGCACTTACTTAGCTAGCTCAAATAAGAGGCGTTAGGAGACGTATAAAAGTTCTGCAAGAGGAGATTTTCAAGTCATTGCTATCGTTGTTAATGTTATCCCTCCTTCCCAATATGAGGGTCTTTCCTTTTTGAGATGGCTCATATATGTCCTCTTTTCAGATTAGGATTAGAATACACTCCCTAGTAATTCATTTGGCGGTGAAATTTGACGAAGAAAATGGCTGGTGTAAGTGGAGAATCTTGAAAGTTTAACCCACTGTTTGATAATAGAGGCAAAATAGGTAAAGTAGCTGATGATTTTTTTTACCAGTTACAGTGACGGAAAAAGTTGTTTTTCAGAATTATCTTTGTAGACTCCACCTTTTGTACCAACATGATCACTCTGTTACACTGCTATTTAATTGACTGACAGACTTAGTCAGTAGGGTTAGCTGTGTTTGACCTAAGTACAAAGGTTCCAAGTGAAACATGTGAAAGTAAGATCATCGTCTTTCATCTTCTTTTGAAACCCTTACTACCACCTTTGGACCACAAAAGATTACTACCACCAATTTGGGAGAACCAGCCTATTTGGTGTTCCTCTAATAATGTTCAATAGATATTTAAGATATATTTTTATTTGTTTGCTAATGTAGACATATAAGAATGAGTAATTTGCTCACTCTCCATCAAACTATATAAACATGACTCGGCTAACTTTCACATTGTCTTGTACATTCACATCATTCTTTGATATGATTAATTGGATCAAACCCTTTTCTGTGTATCAGAATTGCCCATAAGCTCTGTCCAATTCAAATCTTTCTCAAACTTTTGTTCTTCTTCCTCATAAACCTTGGGAACAGGGGGGCGGGTTCTATTGTGCTTATTTCTCTAGAAGTTTTTTGACTATAGTCTAATTTGATCACCATTGATAATTTAATCATCTTTTGCCACCATCGTGTTTATAGTTCTACTACCACTAACTCATATACTGTTGAGATGTAATGTTTGATTAATAATTTGGATTCACTTATGATTTGGGTCAATTGCCACGAGTGCAAGCCAAGACCCTCCGATTTTAGCAAGGAATAACTCTCTGTTGTTGACTCATCAGAAAAAGGTTATTTTTTAGGATGACCTGCAAATAATACCATGGTATTAAAAAAGTTATGGATGGTGGTGATAAAGATGTCAGTGTAGAAGATGAAAGGTTGGATGGAAAATGTTTTTATTTATTGTTCTATTCAGAACCGTCATGCTTATGTGAGATATAACCTAGTCCCTATTGCTCACTCTGTTAGTCAATAGCGACTTTATCTCTTAGCTGGCAGGGTGACTGCATTGATATGATCGTGGTAAGTCTACTTATATCATTGATCAATTAATCCAGCTAAAAACCCTTGAAAGTTCAGTGAATCCTTTGCCTTTAGTAGAAGGAAGTATCTAGAAAATAGTTTATGGGTTCAATATATTTTGCTTGGTCATATCATTTTGTTAATTTATTGTGTCAGGTCAAATGAGAGCACATAACTTTCAACCAAGGATTGTTATTAGGGAATTATCTCAATATTGCTTATGATAACTGAAATGTGATTGTGTTTGGAAAGGGTTTTTACTCTCATTATTGTATTTGAATCCAAGATTAGTTAGGTGATTAGTATCTTTGAAATACTTAGGGAGGTATTAACTGCCAGATGTATTATCAATGTCATTAGATGCTCTAATCACCAAGTATACCCAACATACATACATTTAAAGTATATGGGCTATCCTAATTTGTAGGATCTCATGTGATGAGTGGTGTTTCTGGAAGTGAATCACCAGAAACAATCCTCTCATCCAGTGGGCCCTGCCTTGGGTGTGGTTATAGGTCTCCCAGATGCTATTGATTGGTATTTTGCAGATGCTGTTTGATACGAATGAGAATAATCTTAGTCTTGGCCCAACTAGTGTGTTTAAGCCCAATGTGTGGAAAGTGTATTCCAGGAGGCCCAAGGCCCATTAAGGAGTTTGTTTCGTTTATCGGTTTTAAATAAGCAGTGCCTTCCTCCATGAGGGGCATGCAGAAAAAAATAACCGTTTTCATTTCTTAGGCTCTAAGTTGTTAGAGAAGGGAGTCTCCCCTGGAATCCTTTGAGAACAGTAAGTAGCCTTATTCCTTTTCCCTGTATTTTCCTTTTCCTTGAATACAATCAATTAGCCAGTTTCCCCTAATCCGTTGATTTCGTATCATTGGTCCGACCTGTCGGATTTCCAATGGAGACACGTTTTCAAACCCGAATGGAGAACCATGAGAGCCAGATTCATCAGTTACAGACAGATGTTCAGGAAATAAAAAATTCGTTGAAGGCAATGGAGATAGATCAGGACGAAGAGAAGGAATTCCGAGCTTACATGATGGTGTGGGTGAAGAACCAATCAGGCAAGAATCCAGAAGGAGGGAATTCGTCGGGATCTGGGCAAACTCCTCCTCCCTTCACACCTCCCTTCAATGTTAGTTCCGAGACCGATCGAGCTAATCCGGTTCAATATTGCGCGGCTAAGAAGGTGAAGCTACCAGAATTTGGAGGATACGATCCTCGTGGATGGATATCGAAGGCTGAATTATACTTCGAGATCCATGGGACTGCTCCCGAATTACGTATCCGGTTGGCTCAATTGAGTATGACGGGGGTAGCTCAACATTGGTTCACGGTGGTGAGGAACATTCACGATAAYCTAAGTTGGGAACAATTTACGCGCGAATTGCTGCAACGATTTGGAGGTCTCGAAATACAAAATCCGTATGAACAGTTAGCAACCATTAAACAGGTTGATTCAGTGCATGATTTCATTGACGATTTTGAATATTTGCTATCTCTGATTCCTAGTCTACCTGAATCGCAAGCTCTGGGTTACTTTTTAGCAGGATTGCGTCCTGAAATTAAGCAATGGGTGAGGCTCCAGCGTCCTCAAACTCGGCTTGATGCGATGTACATAGCGAGGGAAGTGGAGCAAATGCTAAATCCTTCAGACCTTACACGACTTAATTTGAGATATCGATACCAGACTCAGCGTCCCGATTCGACTTCTGTTGGTCCATCAATAGGCCCAATGGGCTCAAACATATCGAAGGCCCAATCTGGTATTCCTAATTTTGAACGACGTACGTTCAATAGAGGAGATTCGATGGCTAGGGCATCATCAATTGCATCGGTGGTCAGCCCTCAGCGCACGGAGGCTGTTCAACCATCGGGTAATCGAAATCGTGGGGTCAGAACGTTGTCACGGACAGAATGGGAGGATCGTCGCCGCAAGGGGTTGTGCTTCAAATGTGGACAACAATTCGGTCCTAGTCACAAATGCCGGGAAGTTAACCTTCGGGTGTTACTTTTAGCTGATGATGAGGAAAACGAGAAGAATGGAGAACACAATCAGTTGAATTCACCAGAGGAGGTTGTTAACGAAGGAGAATTCGAAACGGGGGAATGCTCGATTATGGAGTTTTGGGGTGCAAGTGTTGTGGTGAAACCCAAATTACAAACGGTTAAGATCGAAGGATTTTTACGTGGAATTCCGATAGTCATACTAGTCGACAGTGGGGCAACCCACAATTTTATCTCCAGAAAACTTACAGACGCTCTAGATTTAGCGGTACAGAAGTTTACGGGGCTGCGAGTTAAACTTGGCGATGAACACAAGGTTTTGGTGACTCAACGGTGTGAAGGTCTTCCAATTGTKCTGGGGMATTGCGAGTTCGAGGTCRACGCCSTGTTGTTCGAAATGGGTGACCTAGATATGGTGTTAGGGATYGATTGGCTACAAACCTTGGGAGATGTCGTCCATAATTGGGAGGCTCACACGATGCKGTTCATGTATAAGGGTAAAGAGGTCTGTTTATCAGGTACATCGTTGCATTCTCGAGCWCGGGCTTCGTTACACAGCTGGTTAACGGAAGCTCATCCCTCATTGTGCTTAACTGAAGGASAGCAGYTGGYAGAMATGGAGCCAACCTTGTTGTCACAACAGTCACAAGAACTGTTGAAATTTTTTGATAAGTTTGCTCCGGTGTTTGAGGAACTGTCGGGGTTACCACCGGTTCGGTCTCGAGATCACGCTATCAATCTCGTTCCAAATCACGGGCCTGTATGTGTTCGGCCGTATCGATATCCGCATGCTCATAAGGCCGAAATTGAATGCCAGGTTCAGGAGATGCTGACTTTGGGGGTTATTCGACCAAGCAACAGTTCGTTTTCCAGCCCTGTAATCTTGGTACGGAAGAAGGACCAGACTTGGCGTATGTGTGTCGATTACCGAGCTTTGAACAAAGCCACTATTTCGGATAAACATCCGATTCCAATAGTAGATGAATTAATCGACGAGCTCCGAGGTACCAAGTTTTTCTCCAAACTGGATCTCAAWTCCGGTTACAATCAGATTCGGATGCGGCCCGATAGTGTGGAGAAAACAGCGTTTCAGACGCATGATGGCCATTAYGAGTACCTCGTAATGCCTTTCGGGCTCACTAACGCCCCCGCAACCTTTCAAGCAATTATGAACGACATTTTCCGACCTCATCTACGTAAGTGTATCGTCGTGTTYTTTGACRATATCTTAGTRTATAGCCCATCATGGGAACAACACTTGTTAGACTTGGCTTTGACRTTGACAACGTTGGTTTCYCMCCGCTTTGTGGTYAATCWAAAGAAGTGCTCGTTTGGACAGAAATCAGTCGAATATTTGGGACACATCATTGATGGAGACGGTGTGTCAATGGATCCCAAAAAGGTGCAAGCGGTGAGAGATTGGCCGGTTCCTAAACAAGTAAAAGGCGTACGCGGATTTTTGGGGTTAACGGGTTACTATCGGAAATTCGTTCGCAATTATGGCGCTATTGCCAAACCTCTTACGGAGTTGACAAAGCGGSACAATTTTCATTGGGATGAACATACTCAACGGTCGTTTGACAGCCTAAAACACGCCGTCACTTCAGCCCCTGTCCTCGCGCTTCCTGACTTCTCGGTTCCTTTTGTGGTGGAATGTGACGCCTCCGGGTGTGGAATCGGGGCTGTTTTGATGCAACACCGCCGCCCAATTGCTTTTTTTAGCAAGGCTTTAACAGATCGAAATCTGTCAAAATCCGCGTACGAACGCGAAATCATGGCGCTAGCTTTGGCGGTTCAACATTGGAGGARCTATCTTTTGGGCACAACTTTTACGGTCTATACCGATCATAAAAGTTTGAAACATCTCTTACAGCAACGTATTACTACTCCGGATCAACAAAATTGGGTTGCCAAATTACTTGGGTATCACTTTGATATCTGTTATAAGGCGGGACGAGAGAACCGGGCAGCTGATGCTCTGTCCAGGCGGGATGATTACGGCGAATTGTTGACTTCCATAGTGACCAGTGTGGGTCCAAGGAGCACAACTGTTGGAGGAAGCAAAATCTGACCCGGACCTTCATAAATTGATACATTCATGCCAACGGCAACCGGGAGCAATTCCCGGTTACGAAGTGCGTTCGGGAATTCTCTATTATAAAGGTCGTTTGGTTATCCCTCGGAATTCCAAGTGGATTCCGGAATTATTAGCGGAATTTCACAAATCTGCCACCGGCGGTCACTCCGGGTATTATCACTTATCGTCGACTAGCTGCCAATTTATATTGGCCCGGTATGAGCTCGGCAGTCCAATGTTTTGTTCAAGCGTGTGACATTTGTCAACGTTGTAAAACCAGCTCCCTTACTCCAGCGGGTCTATTACAACCGTTAGCCATTCCGGAGGCGATTTGGGAACATTTGTCCATGGATTTTATCTTGGGATTGCCTAAGTCAAAGGGATTTGATGCTCTGTTAGTTGTGGTGGACAGGCTTTCAAAATACAGGCACTTCGTTTTGTTAAAACACCCTTATACCGTGCGACATGTAGCGGACATTTTTGTCAAAGAAATTGTTCGCTTACACGGTATTCCAAAGTCAATTGTTAGTGATCGTGATCCCATCTTTATGAGTCATTTTTGGCAGGAACTATTCCGTTTGCAAGATACTCGTTTGCACATGAGTTCTTCTTACCATCCGGAGTCCGATGGGCAAACCGAGGTGGTTAACCGCTGTTTGGAGTCGTATTTACGATGCTTTGCGGTGGATCAACCACGCTCGTGGTCATTATGGATACCGTGGGCAGAATTTTGGTACAACACGACATTTCATGATTCTACGGGGGTCTCACCTTTCGAGGTTGTTTACGGTCGTAAACCGCCTAACGTATGCCAGTTTATTCCGGGTGAGGTACGTGTCGAGGATGTCCTGTTAGATTTGAAGGATCGTGATGAGGCCTTAAAGCAATTAAGGGCTCATTTGTTACGCGCTCAATCATGGATGAAAGCCCAGGCTGATAAGAAACGCCGTGAGGTGGAGTTCCAGGTTGGGGAGTTGGTTTATGTGAAGCTTCGTCCTTATCGCCAATTATCGGTRGYAAGCCGTATCAATCAGAAATTGTCGGCGAGATTTTTTGGGCCATTTGAAATTGTGGAACGTATTGGCCCAGTVGCCTATCGGTTGAAATTACCAGCATCATCCAAGGTGCACCCGGTTTTCCACGTCTCTCTGTTGAAGAAGGCTGTCCCAGGGGTCCTCGGTAACGTCTCATTACCGGTTGAATTGGAGTTGGACGCAGTCGATCAGTGTTTTCCAGAATCTGTTCGTGCGACCCGAACCATGGTTCGGGATGGAGAAGTCGTCCAGCAGTGGCTTATCAAGTGGCAACACCGTCCAGATGAAGAAGCGACATGGGAAGATGTTTTGGTGATTCAGCAGCAGTTTCCGGATGTTGGTCTTGAGGACAAGACCGTTGTTGAAGGGGTGACCAATGATACGAATGAGAATAATCTTAGTCTTGGCCCAACTAGTGTGTTTAAGCCCAATGTGTGGAAAGTGTATT